AACGTACGATTTTTTAAAGGTACCTCAATCCTGTATTCCAACAGTAGTCCTAATTCCGATTTTCAGGATTCCATCTATATACACTCAACTAAAAGCAAATAGTACCAAATTTAGTACCACTTAGTACTTTTTAAAAAACATAAGTACGAAAATCTTAAACTATTTCCACACATTAACACCAATTCCCAACCTGTATTCCATATAAAATTTCAAGATTTTAGCTATATATGTTCAATATATATACAATTAAAACTAAATTTAGTACTTTTAGTACACTTATAAGTCGAATTTCCAAAAACCCTTTTGCATAGCTTTCTAACTTTCCATCAGTGACCCACATTCCAAATTTCAGAATTCTAGCTCTTCCCGTTCACCTTCTAGTTCGAATTTCCAAAAACCCAGCCTTATCTCACGCCTACACACCAACAACAACCCACACACAAAATTTCAAGCTTCTAGCTTCAGCCGTTTCGTCTGAGCGATGATCTCTGTTATATATATAAGCTCTTTTATATATGTAGATAATTACGCATTTTTAAAACAACCTCCATGTCTCATCCTACACTCCAACCTTAATTTTAACTCCAAATTTTAGGATTCCCGCTCAAACAAAACGAATTGTACCATATTTAGTACCAGTAAGTGTCAATATGTACGAAATTCCAATACTTCCTTAATTCTGTAATTTTCATTTACCATCTCTATCCGTTAACTCTAATCAAAATTGTACCAAATGTTGTACCATTTAGTACACATGCTGACGAATTTTCAAAACTACCGACATATCTCAATTCTGCACTCCAACTGTAATATTAATTAAAAATTTCAGAATATCAGCCTTTATCATTTAGTACTTTTTGTTTCTATAATTAAAAATTTCCAAACCTATGTCAATCCTACACTCCAACAGTAATTTTAATTCCAAAATTCTGGAGTACAGCTCTATCCATTCACACTTAATCAAGTTGTACCAAATATAGTACCATTTAGTACACATAAGTACTATACTTCCATATCTCAATTCTATATTCCAACAGTAACCATTATTCCAAATTTTAGGTTTCCAGCCCTATCCGTTCACCCAAATCCTAATTGTACCAAATCTAGTGCCGTTTAGTACTTTTCGTATACGTTAAATACATCGATTTAAAGATTTGTATAAAATATCTGTCTTAAAACTTCGAGACCAGGAAATGTGTTCGATATAAAAAATGTTCGTTATAACCGATGTTCGTTATAAGCTTACCCGACTGTATCTCTAAAAGTATCTATGTATATATAATATTAATAATAGATTTATAACAATTTTTTTCATACCTTCCCTGGGATGCGTATTGTATAACCAAGTTATGTAGAGTTCTCAAACGAGCTGGAATTTCATAACCTAAATGTGGGAAATATATCTAAATCTGAACCGATTTTTCCCAATTTCAATAGGGTTCATCCTTGGTACTTTTCGAACACATAATTACACATTTTCAAGACTTCTTCCATACCACCACCACTAAATTTAGTACCAGTTAGTATAAAAAAAAAACCCTTTGGTACTTTTTTCTAACTCTCCGTCAGTGACCCACTTTACAAACTTTAGGTTTCCAGCTCTCTCCGTTGCCGAAATCGAAATTTAGTGCATTTGCTATTCTATTTACTATTCCTACACATCTATTCGAGTTTCCAATGTTATCTCCATAGCTAAATACTACACTTTAACAGTAATCTAAATTCCAAATCTCAGGACCCAACCAAATCCAAATTGTTCCAAATTTAGTACCATCATAGTCATACGTAAGAATTTCTAAAACTACATCAATCTTACTCTCCAATAGTAATCTTTATCCCACCAACGTCCAAATTTAGTACTTTTCGTACTCATAAGTACGAATTTCCAAACATACCTCAATACTGATTTCAAATAGTAATCGTAAGACAAAATTTAAGAATTCCAGATCTGTCTGTTCACAAAAACCAGATTTGGTACCATTCTGTACTTTTCGTACCCATATTCCAAACTATTTCGAATCTACACTCCCACAGTAACCTAATACCATAGACAGACGACAGCCTTAATTTGCATTAAAAAATTCTTAATTTGAATTAATATTTACCCCTGACAGACGAGAGTTTCTGCATTTACGAAACATTTTTTTGCTTCAAAACAGTTGTTTGTCTGTGTGTATGATGAATTTTTTTTACATTTGTTTCGATATTTTTCAAGATTAAATCTTTAGGAAATATATACATGACATAATGGAGGAATAGCAACTATGATCATAGCTAAACAGCTCCCAATTTAAGAAATGGTTGAAATTAGCCTTCATTTCTTATTTTTATTTTCATAAATATAAATAAATTTGACAAGAAACAATTAATTTTCGACAGCATTGCCATATTGAAATTGCCTAATTCAGTATAAATTCAGTTTGATTTTGTGCATTTACTACACATAAAAATGAGGATAATGTACAAGTTAATTTGAATTAAGGCTGTTAATGCAAATTAAGGCTGTCGTCTGTCTAGGCTATAAGTTGCAACATTCGGGATTCCAATTCTACCAGTTCACCTAAGTCGGAATTGTACCAAATTTTGTGCTTTTCGTACCCTTAAGTACGTATTTCCAAAACTACCCCAGTCATGTTCTCCAATAATAACCTTTGGTCCACATTTAAGGATTCCAGCTCTATCCGTTCACCAAGAACCAAATTTAGTACCATTTATTACTTTTCGTAGAGGTAAGTACGATTTTATAAAACTTCCTCAATTCCACACTCCAACAGTAATTTTAATCATAAATTTCAGGTTCCCAGCCCTATCCGTTCACATAAATCCAAATTGTAGCATATTTAGTACCATTTAGTACTTTTCGTACTTTAAGTTTGATACTGTCTACGTTCAATACTGTCTCAATCCTGTACTCTAACAGTATTTTTATTTTCAAGTATAAGTTTTCTATTTCTATGTCTATCTCTATCCTTTCATTAGTACACATAATCATGCATTTTCAAAACTACCTCGATATCTCAATCCTACAATCCACCCTTAATTTTGATTCCAAATTTTAGGATTCCAGCTCACACAAAACGAATTGTACTCTATTTAATACCATTTAGTGCTTCTCGTATCCAAAAGTGCGAAATTTCAATACTACCTTAATTCTGTGATTTGCATTCCAAATTTAAAATTTAAAATTTCATTTTAATTCCAAAATTATGGAGTCCAACTCTATCCATTCACACTTAATCAAGTTGTACCAAATATAGTACCATTTAGTACACATAAGAACTATGCTTCCATGTCTTAATTCTATATTCTAAAAGCAACAATTATTCCAAATTTTAGGTTTCCAGCTCTCTCCGTTCACCCAAATCCAAATTGTACCATATCTAGTGCCGTTTAGTACTTTTCTTACACACAAATACGAATTTCCAAAGATGTCTCTATAGCTAAATCTTCAACAGTAATCAGAATTCCAAATTTCAAGGTTTAAGCTCATTCGTTTAAGCAAAATCCAAATTGTACTATATTTAGTACCATTTAGTACTTTTCTTACCAATAAGTACGAATTTCCAAAACTACCTCAATTCTACACTGCAACAGTCATTTTTATTCCCAATTTTAAGACTCCAGATCTGTGAACCGAAATCCAACTTGCACAAAATTTAGTACCATTAGGTACTTTTCGTACGCAAACGTACGATTTTTTAAAGGTACCTCAATCCTGTATTCCAACAGTAGTCCTAATTCCGATTTTCAGGATTCCATCTATATATACTCAACTAAAAGCAAATAGTACCAAATTTAGTACCACTTAGTACTTTTTAAAAAACATAAGTACGAAAATCTTAAACTATTTCCACACATTAACACCAATTCCCAACCTGTATTCCATATAAAATTTCAAGATTTTAGCTATATATGTATACAATATATATACAATTAAAACTAAATTTAGTACTTTTAGTACACTTATAAGTCGAATTTCCAAAAACCCTTTTGCATAGCTTTCTAACTTTCCATCAGTGACCCACATTCCAAATTTCAGAATTCTAGCTCTTCCCGTTCGCCTACTAGTTCGAATTTCCAAAAACCCAGCCTTATCTCACGCCTACACACCAACAAAAACCCACACACAAAATTTCAAGCTTCTAGCTTCAGCCGTTTCGTCTGAGCGATGATCTCTGTTATATATAAGCTCTTTTATATATGTAGATAATTACGCATTTTTAAAACAACCTCCATGTCTCATCCTACACTCCAACCTTAATTTTAACTCCAAATTTTAGGATTCCCGCTCAAACAAAACGAATTGTACCATATTTAGTACCAGTAAGTGTCAATATGTACGAAATTCCAATACTTCCTTAATTCTGTAATTTTCATTTATCATCTCTATCCGTTAACTCTAATCAAAATTGTACCAAATGTTGTACCATTTAGTACACATGCTGACGAATTTTCAAAACTACCGACATATCTCAATTCTGCACTCCAACTGTAATATTAATTAAAAATTTCAGAATATCAGCCTTTATCATTTAGTACTTTTTGTTTCTATAATTAAAAATTTCCAAACCTATGTCAATCCTACACTCCAACAGTAATTTTAATTCCAAAATTCTGGAGTACAGCTCTATCCATTCACACTTAATCAAGTTGTACCAAATATAGTACCATTTAGTACACATAAGTACTATACTTCCATATCTCAATTCTATATTCCAACAGTAACCATTATTCCAAATTTTAGGTTTCCAGCCCTATCCGTTCACCCAAATCCTAATTGTACCAAATCTAGTGCCGTTTAGTACTTTTCGTATACGTTAAATACATCGATTTAAAGATTTGTATAAAATATCTGTCTTAAAACTTCGAGACCAGGAAATGTGTTCGATATAAAAAATGTTCGTTATAACCGATGTTCGTTATAAGCATACCCGACTGTATCTCTAAAAGTATCTATATATATAATATTAATAATAGATTTATAACAATTTTTTTCATACCTTCCCTGGGATGCGTATTGTATAACCAAGTTATGTAGAGTTCTCAAACGAGCTGGAATTTCATAACCCGAAGATTGATTTGAGTATTGACTTGGAGGCGTTGGAGATATATTGTTTCTATCTTCATTATCATCATCTGGAAAAAGTTCCATTACGGGATCAGGTCTAGGTTTTTCATTTTGTTCCTCCTGATCTTGATTTTCGTCATATTTTTTTACAGATGTCATAAATTCTAGATGTTTCTTTTCTTCTTCAAGTTGGGCGACCAATTGTTCTGATGCTTGAAATTTTTGTTGTGTATTAGCAAGTTCATCACGTAGCCATGCATTTTCCTGATGCAATCTTCGTACCTGCGTTTTAAGTTTTTGCTTTTCAGCTTCAATGTTTTGAAGATGACATGATAGGGCCATCATTACTTGTGCCTCATTGAGACCCAATTCAATATTCTCTATATTTTTTCTTATGATGTAAGTTTTTTCTTCATCCTTATTAGATTCGCTTATTCCAGAAATTAATGAGGCATGTTCCACTCGAAGTGCTTCCAGTCCTTGTAGAACAGTTTTTGTGTTACTTATTATTTCGTCTTGAGTCATTTGAGTCATTTTGCCAATATTTTCGATTTTTCGACTACAAATAAATATAAAAGATTTGTTTATCGGAATATGAAGTATAAATTATTATAGTAGATAAAATGACATTACATTCTGTAATTTTTAATTGCTTTCGAAACAATCATGTCCTTATTTTTCCTGTTATAGTCAAGTTTTGACAAAAAAAAATCGTCATAAGCAAATAATGTACGTGTCATGCGCAGTACAAATATTACATCATTGTGATACTGTTATCACAATAGTTAAGGGATAAAAATTATCTAGTTAAGGGATATACATTTCAACCACCATTTGTATACATCTTTACCGGTTCAATAAGCGAGGGTTGTACAGTAAATGAAATAACAATCACACAGAAATTTTTTGTTACAACGGCAAATTGTCGAATGACCAAAATTAAACTTGTCAGCGTTTCCTAAAATTCAACACTATCTCTTGCGTCTGCAAACGACAGAACATTTGAAGACAATTGATGAGTTCAAGGCCTATATAAGGTCGGCCAGTAAGCGAATTCATAGAATTCTATTAGGTTTAACGTCATTTTTTGCCGAGGGGAAAACTAATTGTTTTGCCTTTTTTATATTTTAAATAAAAAACACACAAATACAATACAATTTATAATTTTGTAAGCATGGCATAATTAGACAAGGTAGCATGGTACAATAATACAAGGTAGAGCAGCTTGAGGTGAATAACAAAAAATCAACTATGCTCGTTTGGCCTCTTCTGCCAAAAATAAAATAAATATACGCAACAAGTGTTTGTTTTTATTTGACATTTTTTTAACACAAAACTAAAAACGCGAAAAATTAATGAAAGGTTATGATTTCTTCCCAAAATCCAGTAGGGAATACCATAAAATGTTTGTTTCATCCATAACAAAGTAATTACTTCCAGACGAACGTGTTAAAAACTTTATTTTCATTTCAGTTAAACTTGAATATATTTCAATTTATTTGACATTGTTTTCAAAACAATACACACATACACAAAATATGTATTTTGATTTGATAGAATAAGCCATCTTGAGAAAAAATTGTAATCAGTTGGTAGCTGTGCCCTACCTTGTAATAATTATACCATGCAAGGTAGTCTCATGCAGGTATATAATTCCATTTTTTCATAATTTTAGTTTTACAACATTCAGCTTTCAAAATTTAAAGGAAAATATTCTCATTCGAAATGTACGCACAACACGTGTTCAGTGGCAATAATTACAAAATGTTTAATATTTTGAAGTTACCAGCATCTATAATCTATAAATATAAGTTGTAGCATTTAGATATTTATACATTGTTGTTTTTTTTACCGCAAGTCTGGATTAAAATATAAGAATATGTGTGCATAGCATTTATATTTATTTATTCATTTTTGTAATACAAGGCCTATAAGACCATATTTAATATTACGTAGTTAACAACAAACCCGAGCTTATAAGAACTAATATTCACTATAAAATATTAAAATTTTAATTTTAATTATTTTCTTCTTGGACCCCAGCCATAAAATACAAAAATATTAAGAAAATAGATGAGATTATGTACAGTAAACCAGTAGTAAAAAGAAGAATAAAAAATTTCAAAACCACCAATCATTACTGTAAACCAAAATAGAGATGAAGATTATCTCTCATGTACCAAGGTGAGAAAAACCAACAACAACCACCGCCCGGTGGCATCTGAACTCTGCGGTCTCCGCTGAGGGAACTTGCTGAGTAGATGCCCGTTGTGTCAACCAGCAAACGTGATTGACTGAGCTCGGGAAGTTGAAGGTCAACATATCTAACTTATACATTGCCTCTCACCTTGATACATCTATATGTATCAACAAATATATATTATAGAATGTATGGATAAAAAAATACTTAATAAATAAGGAAAATAGGGACGCAAGTTCAGTTTTTGTGAGCATTTAATTCATTTCAAATTCAATTCAATAGAGTTACAAAACGGGTTGTTTAAAGTGGTACTGGACCCGAAATTATCCAACCGAACGTTGTATATTGGGCCATAGGTAGACCCGCTGGGATATTACGCGTGGGGAAATTATTTTAGCGTAAATTTCTGGACCTAAAACCATTGCAATGGGTCCAGCTCTATCAAAATTAGGATCGGCAAGTTCTAATCCTACAAACGATTCGCGCACGGAAGGTGGGACCGACATGGAAGGGGTTACACCACGGGTTATATTGGCTAGACTGGCCGTAACATATTGTCTTTGCGCCAATCAAACCGCGAGACTATCAGAAAATCGGCGTACTCCGATTGGTTAATTTTAGTGGTTGGCCATCGAAGGTGTCGGACAAGAGATGCGCAGACTTGGCTTACTTGACAACATGGGTCAAGCAACGCACGGACCGGTACAGTAGAATGTGGCAAGCAAATTCTTATCAACAAAGTGGGGGACAAAGACAAAGATCGCGTAATGGGCAGTACGGTAGTCGGCAAAACCTGGAGGTAGCGCAGGGAAAATACCTCGAGGCACAACGGGGGTAGGCGTTCTTTGCACGGCGCAACCTGAATTTTTAACCTACGTTCCTTGTGCAATAACGTGTGGTGACGATCGTTGCAATGCCTACACGACTGACGGACGGGACAATTTTTAGAAATGTGGTCAGGAGTA